TATTTTCCCCACAGGAGCTAAAACAGTCCACCTTGTATGACTGCTGCCGCTTCTTAACATTCCTGGCTTTAATGCACTTTCCAGAATCTGTCTGAGTTGATGATAATTAGTCCTGATAGCAAAAGAACAGCATGCAAAACCTGCCACTTAGCAGTAAATGCTGCATGTCCAAGCTTGGCCATGCACTCTGGAGAGGGGACGTTGACGTGAATGGTGTTTGGCTCTAGGGAAGGGCCGGCAACCAGCAGTCCCTGGGCAAAGTCCTCCCCACCTGCACCCTGCTTTGCATGGTGCTATCTGCTCTGGTACCAGTTGCCACTCCTGTTGGGGCCCAGTAATGAAGGCATGACAAGATCAGTTGAGCACATTCAAAGAACTGGTTAAAGTGATTAAAGAAATCACAACATGGAGACTCAGAGTGGGAAAATGGCCAAAACTGATAGAGAAATGGAAATGGAGCCATAGCGGAATATAAGTTGAAACTGTTATATTTGGAGAAGTGCAGAACTAGTAAATATTGAGTGGAACTGGCCTCAACACTGCAGGGTTAGTTAGTCCTGGATGAGTGTTTCATCCAGCCAGCCATGCCCTCTTCCACAATACTCCATTCCATTCCCCTTCTCCTGCTCAGGGTTTCTTCCCCAATTAATTCAACATTCTGTGGCCACTGAGTTTCTCACTGTCTATTTTTACATAGGGGAAGGGCTTGCCCCTTTAGGTGTTGTTGTCCCCCCCCCCCATTTTTAATTGCACTTCCTGTGGCATTTGTCTCAGCAGCCTGATACCCTCCTCTTGTTTCTTAGCAGCCCTGTGCTGGCTACACACCTATTGGCACTGAGCACCTTAGTGTGTTGTTAGAGGAAGTCATAGAATCATCAAAGAGTTGGAAGGGGCCATAAAGGCCATCGCCTCCAACACCAAGTTACACCATCCCACTCAGATGGTTGTCCAGTTATTTGAATGTCTCTAGTGTGGGAGAGCCCACCACCTCTCTAGACAGCTGGTTCCACTGTCATTTTGCTCTGACAGTGAGGAAGCCTTTCCTGATGTCCAGCCTGAATCTGGGTTATCGCAACTTGAACTGATTATTCCGTGTCCTGAACTCTGGCATCAGCAAGAAGAGATCTTGACCCTCCTCTTTGTGACAGCCTTTGAGGTACTTATAGAGGAATATCATGTCCCCTCTCAGTCTTCTCTTCTCAAGGCTGAACATGCCCAGTTTTCTCAGTCTCTCCTCACAGGGCAATGTTTCCAAACCCTGGATTTCCAAAGTAATTTCACAGAGTCTGAATATACCAATTGTAAACACAATCCTGTGTTCCACACACTAACAATGGAGTGAAATTAAGTAAACAATGTACAATTTTCCTGATGATCAGACAACAAGGGTCATTTACTTAATGTTCTATTGGAGATACATAAGAGGGTTGAAAATATAAAATAAACCACTGTCAAGGAGGTTAGAATTCGTAAAGATAAGTCTGGAGGCAGATGTTTTGACACCAGATGCCCGAAAAGGAAGTGTAGGTCTAGATAACCATGTACAAAAGCAACTGGTTATGTTTTCCCTTTTTGATGGCTTTATTCTGCTTTTATTGAGTAGTGTTTCCTACTACAATTTTTCCTGTTATTAATAGTTACAAAAAAACAAAATGGATAAATTTGCTCTACAGGATGACTGTGGCAGGCGGTCCCAACTGGAGACAGGCTCACTCTATATTTCTAGTATGTCCCTATAATACAAGAGTCTTTTTAATATAAAACAACTTGCTGGTGTTGCTTGTCTCTCTCACTGTCAGACAACGAACAAGGGGGAGGGTTTTTTTGTCCTCAACGTAAGGATCACATGAAGTCATTATGTAATTATGCCATGTTATTAAGTAACGCATGGACACCCTTGGCTGGCTCACTATGCTGTATGTAAATCCATTTTGTGATAGAAGATTTGAGGTGGAGAAGGGCACTTGCCTCTTGGGAGAATTAATCCATTCTGCTTTTCTTGTAAGGAACCGCCTAGCAAGTAGCCGAGGATCTCTTTATCAGGCCGAAGCACAATCCTGTGCATCTTCCAGCAGAAATAAATTAGAAGACACCGGCATTCTGCTAGCTCAGCTCTTTGTGTCTATGCCAATGTGACAAAGTTCTGATGGTATTTTGCTTCTTTAATGCAGCTGAGAGGGGGGCATGCACACGTGTGTGTGAGTGAAATTGTATTGGAAAGGAGAAGAGGCACATGATGCCATTTTACAGATCCAAATCTCCCCCACCCCACTGCACACTGGATCAATGTTTTTTTCTCCCCTGGAGGGGAAAAATGATTTTGTGGTGGATGATTTTTAGCTGAAAAAATGTCTCCATGGAAGGCAACAGGGGCCCCCTCCCAGCGGTGCCAGCAACTCCTCACATGAAATACAGGACCCCAATATGACACCCCTGGATCAAGGTGGAGGCACTGATCTTCTGCTTCAGCCATGCTCCACTTCCACACTCATGGCCATTGGGTCATGTATAAACTGCTTTCACTTGACCCTGGAATGAAGCTGGCCAAAAGGCGGTTTGCGCAACTGCGCCAAGCGTTGTATTTAGGTGCAATGTTGTGTCACTCATCCAAGCTCCACTTGTGCTCATGGATGTGCTTGCTAGCCATGCCCCCCGCAGTCATTTGCTTGGCACTGGTGTGCAGGGGCCCCAGGTGTGCCTGGTTGCAGGTGCATCCTCCCTTCAAGGGGGAACCTTGATTAACCCAGTTTCCCATCCCCTGGCAAGGTCTGCTCCCGTGCACCTGGTCCTTTCACACTGCCAGTGGATGCGCAGCCACGAATGTGTGGCCAGCACATATCTTTTCTTTACTTCTTTTCTTTTATAACGTTTCTTTCATAACTTCTTTTATATCTTTTATATTTTTTATTTATTTTATATTATTAATTTTAATTTTATATTGTTATTTTTGTATTGTATTTTATTGTGTTGTAAGCTGCCCCAAGGTTTCGGCAAGGGGCGGCATAGAAATGTTCTAATAATAATAATAATAATAATAATAATAATAATAATAATATCAGCATGGAGGGGGTGTGGCTAGCAAACTGGATCCTGCCCCTCATGTTTAATGCAGGCAGGAGGGGGCTGAGCATCTTGCAAATCATTACATTTCTTCCCCCAACACACACCTCCCTTCCTCCGTCACATGCATTCAACATGCTTCCTTTTCAGCGATCTGAATGCTTTCTTAACTCATGGAGATGGCTCTGCCCTGCAGCCTTCAATTTTTCACTTTTTTAAAGAAAGTATAGCTTGCGCTCTTAGTAATTTAAGGTTTATTTATTTATTGCACTTCTGTGTTGCCCATAGTCCATGGGCTCTCCAAGCAGTTAATACTGATGAGCACAGATAGTACCAGAAGGCAAAGTGGCAAGATTTTTTTAAATCACTTGCCAAAGAACCCAAATATAAGGCAGAAACAGAGGAACACCAAGCTGCTTATTTGAACCCCCCAAAAGATGGTGCTGTCCGGAAGTCCTTTGTTTTGCAGTTTGCTAGCCCCCTGGTTTAATTTTCAAAAACAGTTTTAAGAACTAAAATACAAATCAGGGCAACAAAGGAGGCTCCAGGAGAGGTGCCCACAGAAATGCAGGCATTAGCGGGAGACTCCAGGGTGAGATTTTCCCATCCCTGCACCTCACCGACAGGAAAAGTTCAACCCGTTGGCTTTCCGCCTGTGGTGAAGCTGCTAAAGGTTTAGAACTTTTGCCAGCAGGTAAAGATAACAGACCTCCCAAGGACAGAACTGTGTACAAACACTGTGGCATAGCTTGAACTTATTTAGCTTTGTTATTCAAAAAAGAAAACTCAGTTCAAAGTATTTTTGCAAGGATGAGTAGGGTGAGGGAATAGGGTGGGTTTATAATATCGCATGGCTGGCTTCAGGGAAAGACAGAGTATCTGCTCGATCTGTCGGCAATGTGCTTCCACCACCACTGCACTGTCTGCCCCATAGCTGCCCTATACCCAAATGGATGGTGTTAGATTATTTGGGTGCTTTAATGTACATAGTGTACAATGCTTTCCCCATTAATTCTGCTATGGGACCACACACCCACTAAGCATGTAAAAGTAACACGTGTTTGAAAAGTCACCACAGTAATCAAGTCTCCTTCCTGCCCCTAACTTTGACTATATAAAACAGAGAGCAAAATCCAAAATTCCCACAGATGTGTGGAAAAAGGATGATATTGAAAACACTTAAAATAGACCATGATGAGGAGGGGGGGGGGGTGGATCCGCGGAGAAAAGAAGAAACTCTGACAAATCTGCTTGTGGTGCCTTGTTTGAACCAGATTTTTTAAAACTAAACTGGAGGCAGACTCTGCTTGTTTTGGAGCACACTAGAAGCCCATGTGTGAAGGGGAAAGGGCATTACATTTCTTCATCCTTTGCACCTTGAGAAAGGCTTTCTTGGACTTGTGAGGGTTTTTCAGCATGTGGTATGGAACCATACTGAGAAGAACAGGTAAAATGAAAGGCATCTTCCATCAGCTCACAAGCATTATCCTGTTGTTGGAATCTCTTCCTGTTTTGCATCTAAGCAATCCATTTTGACTCTCATATATTCTGCATGCTCCCGCTTCGATTTCATTAAAATCTGATGCTATGGGAGTGATTTCAGCTTCGATCATTCATATCCTGGGGTTGTGTTTGAACCATAAATATGCAAACCATCTGTCAAATGAGATGTACTGCTATCATGCCTTGTTCGGGAGCTTTGTCTTACCATGCGATTGTGTGCAGATAATTAATGAGGTAATTAATGGCCAGCATGGATTAATCTACCAACTTTCGACTCTTTCCAACCAAATCTCCATCAATTAGGAGCACAAAAAGAAAGACTGGGGGCAGGACCAATATCTCATCCCTTTCTTCTGTCCCCACCACAAATCAGCAGCAAAGAATTAAAAGTCAAGCCTTGCTTGCTTGCTATTATTATTCCCGCTTGATCTACTTACAATTGCTGTTGGGGTAGCAGCCAGCACACAATAGAGGACAAGTGGAGAAATGAAGCTTTCATCCTCTGTTCCTGGGTAAGGTTTCATCAGATCTCCGTCTTGGCAGAAGAAGCCTTGGATATGCACCTGGAAAGTGTCCGTGCACTCAAAATAGTAGGCGAGGAGAACCGTCCCGGCCATAATGACGAGCTGAAAATACAGCATGGTTTACACAGACACATTAGCAGCTGCTTAGCAGTGGTACCTCCCAGCAGCTCCGTGACAGCCACCCTCCATCCCAACAGCAGTGTCAACATTAGTGAGCAAGTGCTTAGACTAGTGTCTCTGCTCGATAACATCTGTTACATAAACCTTCGGGGAACTCCCCCCATGCCCCCTTTCCACCCCAGTGAGAGTCTTTGATCAAACTGTGGACCAAGGCATGCTCTGCAAAAAGGACGGGAGGTTTAGCAGTGCCTACTTTGTCAAGGGGCATGCGGTTGTCACCGGCAGCAGGAATCGATGCAAATGGAATGGGCCAGCCAGACACAAGGCGGGCCCCACCAGCTAAAGCAACTCGGGCTGGTGTTTCCACCCCCTCGCCCCCACAGCGAGTGCAATCGACATACAGATGGAAAAGGAAACCTGGATGCAAAAAGCCCAGGTCAAGGATATTCTGCCACAAAGAGGAGAAGCAAAACGTGACACCGAAGCAACTTCTGATAGTCTCTCTATTCCCTCCCCACCTGCTTCCTACTTCTATTTCTCTGCCTTCTATGTGAGCTTGCCATGTTGTGGTCTTCTGTTGGGGATGCATCCGACCTTTTTGTTACTCAGTGTTTTAAGATCTGATTGTTTTAATTGGGGTTTTATTGTCAGTTGGAATTTTTCAGGATGCTGTGTTCTATTTTACATGGTTGCATTGTTAAACCAGATACTGAAGATGAAACTCAAATACTTTGGCCACCTAATGAGAAGGAAGGACTCCCTGGAGAAGATTCTGATGCTGGGAACAATTGACGGCAAAAGAAGAAGGGGAGGGCAGAGGATGAGATGGCTGGATGGAGTCACTGGGGCAGTGAGTGTGAGTTTAAGTCAGGGGTCCTCAAACTTTTTGAACAGGGGGTCAGTTGAAAGGTGCCAGCGGTGGGTGCAGGCCACCAAAGCAGTGCAGGCGGGGGGCACGGGTCAGGGCTGGGGGGGGGGCGCATGCGCTTGCGTGCAGAAAGGCAGGGGCATGAGTGCACAGAGATCATTTTCTCCCAGTGAGTCCAAAATGATCTCCCTGCGAGCAAGCCGGCGCCTTGGGGCTCAAACACACCCCCCTTTTTAAACATATATCAATAAATGAACCCCTAATATCATCAACATTGTTCTTTTTTATATACCCCTTTTCACCTTAATATCACAATTTGTTATTAATAGCTACATTCCAAACTTCTCTATACCAGTCATGCAATTGATAATCATGTTTTACTTTCCAATTCTTTGCTATGATTCATCAATCTGTGATTACATTTGGTATGAATCCTTTAATATTCCAACAGCATTGTTTTCTATCAAGAATTGACAATAAAGCAATCTCAAGTCATACTTCCATGTTTAAACTTAATATTTTACTACTCTCTTTAAAAGGCTCTTTCCAAAACTTCATTCTGTAGTCACATTCCCAGCACATATTATAATATGTACCCACTCCTTGACCACATCTCCAACATGAATTGGAATATTTGCTATCTATATGATTCAACTTCACCAGGGTTAGGTACCATTTCCATAGCAATTTATAAAAGTTTTCCTTTATTCTTACTGACATACATTTTAATATCCTCTGAGCCCAGATCTTTGAGGATTTGGGTTTTCACCAATGGGGTGAATTCAGAAACCTTGGATCCCAAGGAGATACGTATCATCTCTCTAATCAGAGCTGTTGTGAACCACGTCCTCCATGCTAAACTAGGGTTTAGAAGCATTTCTGCAGCAGACGTGCTTTTGTACACAGTAGCAGTGGGTAACTTCCAGGGATTGCTGGGCTGACTCTGTCCTCCCTCTCCCCAACCCACTGGGAGCTGCATCTCACCCTCACCACCACTGAAATTAGGCTTCAGCATTAAAAAGGGCGAATTTGCCACTGCCCCCATGCAGTCTGAAAGTGCTGGTGGTGAGGCTGCTTCTGAAGACGAAGAAGATCCTAACAACTTCTGGCCTGTGGCAAAAGTTCCATGCTGGGCAAGTCCTTGAGTGGGTGGAGGAGAACTTGTTCTAAGCACCCTTGGATGAGGCTGATTATGTGGATCCATTCCAGCCTGGTTTTGGCATAGAAACCGCTTTGGTCACCCTGCGTGATGACCTATGCTGGAAGAGAGACAGGGCGAGCCTGACCCTGCTGATACTCCGGGATCTTTCAGCAGCTTTTGATATATCCTTCTGGGTCAACTGTCTGAGTTGGGAGCAGGAGAGGGGAACTGTTGTGTGTTGTTTGTTGTATGTGGCTGTTTGTTTTTTGTAAGCCATTCAGAGTCGTTAGAATTGGATGGTATATACAAACTGTAAATAAATAAACTGCATTGCAGCAGTTCTGCTCCTGCTTGGATGGATGTCCCCAGAAGGTGATGCTGGGGGAATATTGCTCAGCCCCATGGATTCTTATCGGGGTTCAGTCTTACCCCCCATGCTATCTACACGTGGTGTGGTGTCAACCCAAGTTTCGGTATGCTGATGACATGCAGCTCAATTTCTCCTTTGCATCCTCATCAGGTAAGGCTATTGATGTGCGCCTGGCTGTGACCATAGACTGGATGACAACCAACAAACTGAAACTCAGTCCAGACAAGGCTGAGATCCTATTGGTGGATGGGTCCTCTGACCAGGTGGAGGGTGTGCGACCCTTCGAAGGAGCGGGTTCGTATCAAGGGAGTGCTCCTTGAAGCATCTTCATCACTTGAGGCACAGGTGGCAGAGGATGGCAGAGGATGCCTTCCACCAGCTTCAGCTGGAGGTCCAGCTATTCCCCTAGATGGACAGGGATAGATTGGGTTCAGTCATCTAGGCTCCAGCAACCTCCAGGTAAGATCGCTGCAATGCCGTGGGGCTGCCCTTGGAGACTATTCAGAAGCTGCAGCTTGTGCAAAATACAGCAGGCAGCTTGATATCTGGGACCACAATAACCGGCAGAATGCTCCTCCCAGCCTCAGTCTATCCCCATCTGAAGCCTTGCTCTGGCTTCCAGTTCAACAGGAGGAGGCAACAAGGGGGAGGGCCTTCTCAGTAGTGCCCCCCCCCCCAATTATGGAATAATCTCACCAGTGAGCCTTACCTGGCACCAACATCCCCATCTTTTTTGGCAATAGGTTAAGACTGGTTTTTGCTGAAATGGTTTTACTTGTTTAAATTGTCGTACATTTTGTATAACACTGTTTTACTGCATATTTGATTTTATTGTACCCGTGCTTATGATTTGTTGAGAAATGCCTAGAGAGTTTAGGCTATTGGGCCATAGAGAATGATGACGACGACTTGCCTAAGGTCATCCAGTGAGTTTCACAGCAATGCATGGATTTGAAGCAGGGTCTTCCCAGTCCTACTCCAACACTCTAACCCAGATGAAGAACAGTCTCCACCTATGCTCTAACCACTGAACAATACTTCCGCAGCAAGGGTGGGTGGGTGGACTAAGCATTCAATATGCAAAAGGAAGCAGTAGCCAGCTGTGAACCCATTTCAGACAAGCTTGCTTCCTGCTCTGTGAGATGGTGATATGTAAAAAGAACAGGAAAATGATTTCAAGAATAAGTCTTTGGATTTATATGCAGTGAAACATAAGCACAGGAAAGAAACACACTGCCCTCTTGTGGAGGGAAATGGGAACAAGTTTGTTCAAATTAAAGCCACAAGCAGCCCCATTCTAGGTACATCATTATCGTGGATAAGAATGATTGCCCACTCCCATTTTAAAATGTTTCATTTCATTCACTTTTCATTAAGCCTTGTAATTATTCAAGTTCAGTTCAGAGTGGCTCTAATTCTGGCCAAGATGCGAAATGGAGAAATTGCTTCTAGCTCTAATCACAGCAGGCAATGTGTGGTGCGTGTGCATGCACATGTGTGTACATTTGTGTGTGCATGTGAGTGTGATTGCATGTGGTCAGAGAGAGGCAGGCAGCTAAGACTTCAATATGGCTGTGCTCTACTTCCATTTCCATTGTCATGGGACAAGCACACCCTTTTTGAGGCAGAAGCCAGGGCAAGTACTGGGGGAACAGGAAGAAGTATTCCCATCAGCTTTCAAAAGAATGCCTGCAGGTCAAAACTCAACCCTGACAATCCTAGGTGACTTCAATCTGCAAAGTGGAATCAAAAGCCCTGATGTGGATTGGAGAATCAAGCAACTTTGTTCACACATAGAGTTCCTGTCCACCAGCTTTCAAAATTATTGTCAAGAAAACAATCTCCTGTTCAATTCTTTTGGCTTAACAAGGTTTAACACCTGATGTGCTGTACTCACCAGCTCCACCAGAACCAGAACAAGCTCATAGACTAACACTGGTTTCAGGGGATCCATAAAGACTGGGCTTCTATACTCTGGTTTCTCCATTAGGTAGGGCTTGGACTGCGGCCCTGTCTCCTCTTTGTGATGGGGATTTGTACAACTTACAATATGGAATGGATGAACGTGCAACACATCTGACCCAGATATGTCTGTCTGAATATTCAGTGAAGCACCAACCTAGGCTGAAGGCATAGACAAGTTTAAAGACTTTCTAGCTCTCTTACTAGATACCTGAAGGAACACCCATTCCCATATGTTCCTACCCAGCTGCTAAGTGAAAATAGTGTAAGACTCCCAGTGAAGAGGAACAAGGATGCTCTTGAGCACATAACCACGCCTATTGTGTCCTCCAGGAGCCATCACTTGGAGCTGTTTTGGGTGGTCTAGGGGTTGCTAACACTCCCCCATGAATGGAGCCCTGGGCTCTTCAAGGACCTTCTGTGACTTTTTCCTACTGCACTTTAAGGACAAAGTTTGTCTGTCTCTGTGGTGAATTTGACTCCATCAATGGTGCAACTCCAATCAGGACATCTGCATGATTTTGTGGAATTGATTTTGGTTGCTGTGGCCTGATAATGTGGACAGGTACTTGCAGTCGCATGACCAAATGATCCTTGCCCTTCCTGACTACTGAGAGCTAGAGGAGGAGGTATGACTAGGT